GCAATATTCTTACCTTTAATCAATATTTCCAACTTGAAAGAAGTAAATACACGAGAAGAACTTGGTCAAACACTAAGAGGTCAAAATGGATTTGGATCCACTGGTACTGATGAAATATTAAAAGAATATGAAGATGAATATGAAGATGAAAATCCAGAAGACCAACCATTATTAAAAATTCTAGAAAAAATAGAACAACAAGTAATCTTAGATATTGAAGTAAATAAATATTATACTCAAATAAAAGATCAACAAATATACCATACCACTGTAAAAGAAATGAGAAAGAACACTTTAACTGAAAATAATAAATGCCCACATGCAAATGACGAAAATAACAATGAAAATTGTCTACATTATGTTAAAAATGAAGAATTATATCGACAAATGGAATTAATACCAGAACCATTATTTCAATCAACAAATATCAAAGAAACTGATCTTACTAAAAAATAGCAACAACAAATAGAAGAATTGTTAGCAGAATATTATGATCTATTTGATACTGAAATACCTGGAAAAACTGATATAATTCAACATGAAATCAATCTTGAAACTACCAAACCAATAGCACTCAAACCATATTATAGAAGATCACCATTGGAAAAAGAGTTTATTCAAAATAAAATTGACAAAATGCTTAGACAAGGAATTATCAAACCTTCTGATAGTCCTTGGACTGTGCCTGTTGTAGTAGTAAAGAAGAAAGGTGAAAAGCTTAGATTTTGTGTAGACTATCGACAACTAAACAAAGTTACCACCAAAGATCAATTTTCATTACCAGAATTGATGATTTACTGGATACATTTGGAAAAGCCAAATACTTTTCAACATTAGATTTAGTCTCTGGATATTGGCAAGTCGAAATTAAACCAGAAGATAGACCAAAAACAGCTTTTATTATTACTAAAGGACTATATGAGTTCAATGTTATGTCATTTGAACTTACAAATGCACTGGCAACCTTTCAACAGCTAATGAACAAAGTATTTAAAAATAAGTTAAATAAATTTGTGGTCATATACTTAAATGACACAAATATATTCTCGACAATATTTGAAGATCACTTACTTCATTTAAGAATTGTCTTCGATAAATTAAGACAAAATGAATTAAAATTACAATTCAGTAAATGTCATTTTGGAAAAACTTCTTTGGCATTTCTTGGACATGTAATTAGCAAAGATGGAATCAAACCAGATCCAGCAAAAATAACAGCTGTTAAAAACTTTTTAATACCACACAACTTAACTGTATTAAGAGGTTTTCTTGGTCTTGTTTCTTATTACCGAAGATTTGTAAAAGACTTTACACAAATAGCTAAACCACTCCATTATCTAATGAGAAAAGAACAATCATTTAACTGGACTGAAGAATGTCAAAAAGCATTTGAAGAACTTAAACAACACTTAATATCATCACTAATATTAATATATTCAGATTTTAACAAACCATTCCTATTATATACTGATGCTTTTAGCTTCAGACTTGGAGCAATTTTATCACAAAAAGATGACAATAACAAAAAACATGTAGTCACTTACGCCAGTCAAAGAACAGATCAATGTGAAGTTAATTATCATGCAACTGAATTAGAATGCCTAGCAGTAAAATAGACAGTAGAACATTTTAGATCATATTTTTAATCAAATATTCCATTTACTATAATTACTGATCATAGTGCTTTGAAAAGTTTATTCAATATTCCAAATTTATCTGGTAGACTAGCAAGATGAGTTATGACTTTGCGAGAATACACATACAATGTAGAACATCGTAAAGGATGCTTACATTCAAATATTAATCTACTTTTACACCACTTCCAAAAGAATCAATCTAGATCAATAACAACTTAATCAATTTAAAAACAAATCAATGCTAATACACAACTTGATAACTTATTTTGAACAACTCATACCTGTTACAATGAATTTAATTGAATATTATCAACTCGTTAATTATTTGAATACACTACAATTATCAGAAAACTCATCAGTAAGAGAACAAAAGAAATTAAAAAATAAGGCAATTCATTACCTTATTAAAAAAACAAAACACTTTATAGAAGAAATCAAAAAGATTTTGATACACCACTTAAAGTAATTAAACCTATGGAAGTAGAAGAAGTATTAGTCAATGAACATTCTATTGCAATAACTGGACATTTTGGAATAGAAGCAACTTACAATCGAATTTCTCAAAATTATTATTGGCCTAAAATGCACCTAGACATTGAAAATTATATTAAAGCTTGTGATGTTTGTCAACGAAAAAGCAAAATGAAAAAGAATAATCCATTACACCCAATTGAAACCAAACCACCATTTGAAAAGATTGGAATTGATTTAATTGGACCTCTACCAATCACCAAAAACAATAATAGATATATAGTAGTCA